AGGTAGCTTTTTAAAAATATCCTGCAAATGTACAACAAAATTACATACTGTATATAGATCCTCCTGAAGAACTAGACTGTACTGTGACCAGTCAGGTTTAGTAAAGTGAATATTGGACTGAAAATAAAATGGCAAATCACTTCCACATCATTTCATTTAGGGAAGCAGGAGATACAGAGCCTAGACCAGTGTAGAGCTGATGGAAGGAAGGAAATAAGAATGGCCATAAGAGAAAAGGTGAAGAGAAAGATAAATTGCCTACCTTCTAATCATTTCTTAAGAAATCATAAAATTTTCTGATTTGGCCAGGATGTTTTTATTTGAAAATAAAATCAATTCATATCCAGATGTATTGCATTAGCTAATTGTCCATAAGTGTCTAGGGATTTTTTTTTTTGTTCCTGAGATGGATTTTTTTTTAAATACTACTTTCGTAGGTGTTGGTCTTATCCCATGTTTCTAGAAACTCTTCTAATTTCTTAAGATTTTTTGCAAATTTTATATTTAATACAAGTTTTGTTCTCATCAGCCTTTCTTTTTGTGTACATTTTCTTAGGCTAAACTAAAAAGCTGCAAATTACTTAAATTTAATATTTTATTAAACATCTTTTAATTATATTAATTTAAAGTAATATGTGGGAGGCAGCAGATGGTCTTAGAATCCATGCAATAGCCCATGATCTGTGTTGTTTCTAGTTATGTGTGTGTGTGTGTACGTGTGTATGTGCACATGTCCACATGCGTGGACTTGATGTTGGCAATTTTATGTTGGTTGATCATTCAAGTAGAAGGAGTAATGAAATAGACTATGCACATAGGTAGCCACTGCCCTTTCCTATTCCATGTTACTGAGTATATACTATGGCCAAAGGAAATATTGTAGAGCCTCCTAGGGAGATTGTGAGAGACCCAACCTTGTTTTTGTGTTCTCTTTCTCTATGTTTTTATTAATTGTTCTTCTTCACCTCTGCACATCAAATCTAGTAATTCCCTAGCCTTATGTATTTCCATTCCTTTATTTTCCAAGCATTATTTCACCTGTGTGCTAATAAAGAGTTAAATCACTTAAGTTGGAGTAAACACCAAAGTGACTCTTCTTCAGTGATCATTCTAAGCCAGTTTTTGAAAAACAACTTGACATGGGTCAGGGGAAGAAGGATTCATTACTACTGATGACATTTGAAGGGAATAGAATTAAAGTCATATTTAAATCATAAATTGTGAATAGGTACTAAGGGAATAACAAATTTGGTCAGGACCTTTAACTACAGAATAATTTATAAGAAATAGAATTATTTACAGAGGTCTAACAAAATCTGTTTGTCAAATCTAAGCATTTTTAATGTTAAATTTCACTGTTGGCCTTTTCTCTTGTCATAAGGAAAAAAAAAAGATTGTTAGTTGACATTAGAGAACAAACATTGCTGACATTTGTATCTATCTAATAATGGTATAGAAATGTAATTAGGAGCCTGAAAAATTTTTTTCATCTGGTAAGTGTAACAAATGCATTACTTGTATAAAAATAATGGCAAGAAATATGTAATAAAATACTTAGCATGTACTTGTGTGTGTGTAAGTAATTTATATGCTTTTAATCAAGAAAAATATACTTTAACAATCATATTACAGCATTTCAATTTGAAGATATTATTTCCTGATAGGTAAAAATGTTAGCATACTTCTCTGGGGATATATCTATATTTAGAATAATTTGGCTCATAATTTCAGGATTAATTAGCAAATCTACTGTAAATCTCTATTGTATAAATCCAGCTAAGAGAAATTCAAATCCATAAGAAGTAAATATTTAATTAAAATTCATTTTAAAATAGCTTTAAAAAATTGTAATGTATTTTAAAAATTAGTAGTCTTGAGAATTTGTGTTTTCTCGAAGAGGGAAGCAGGAAGGCATAGTTTCTACCAATGATCCAGGCCCTTATTCATGGATATGTAAGTGGGCAGAGAAATTTAACTTTTTAATCCCACCTCTCTGTATGTGACATTTTTGCTACTTCTAAGAATCAACTTTTTAAAAAAATGAGTTATAGACATTGGTATTTTATAGTCGTTTGTCTTTTGATGATACTGGGGGCATTAGCAAATACTGTGGTATGCATTCTATTTATTCTCAGAGGGAAGGTCTGGGGAAATAGGAAATATGATTATAATGTTTCAGTGGCTTCTGTTTTGAGGCTATGGAGTGTGCTCAGAAAAGTTAAGTTTAACCCTTTCTGTTTTAATCCCTGATTATGAGTAAAAGAAGAGGTATAATTTGAAAAAATCATAGAAGGGAAAAAGAAATACTGGAAATAACTTAAATCAAATAGTATATGCTAATCTCCTCTGGTGCTATGCACTCTTCAAGAATTTGAGGCACTGTGGAATGCCTTTCCCATGTTCCTTTGTTTCCCTTTACTCACTATAAATCCTGATAGGTCTTATGTTTGATTTTGAAGCTATCAACCCACAACTAACTTTAGTGGTTCTTTGTGTTAGCACTCCTGCAAAAGCATAAAATTTAAACCTGATAAATATGGCAAGAATATAATTTCTAATTATAAAGCAACTAGATAAGCAAAACAAAATCAGAAATCTAAGTGCTGGAAAAAATAAATAGTACATTTGATCACATATGCTTTAGAAAGACTGAACCCGAGTTTAAAATTAGTACTTCACTGATCAAATGATGATTTTCTCAAGTTCCTTTATTAAAATATATTAAAATAGTGAAAACAATAGTTTAGATATAAAAATGTGAACAGTATAGCATTATTTCCTAGTTGTTTTTAATACATGTAATTGTATATGCTCTCATACTTGAATGGTAGGGAGAAAGAATTTGGCCAAATTAAGGAAACGAACTTATGGCCACCAAAATATTATTTTAATTATTTTACAATTTCTGGCTGACACATTTGAAATGCTCCCAGTCCTGCCTTATATAACTCAGAAAGCACAGACTCAACATGACTTTCAAGGACAACTCTGAATGTTAATGTTTCCATTTTCGGCCTCATGGCAGAAAGAGTTTTATTACCCAGTGTACACTCTGGAATGTCAAAGCCGTGATAGGCAGTATAGACTCCACACACAAAATAAATGCATAGTCATTTTATTCTAAATCGCTTCACTTGAAAATATGGCATGAAAATCTAGAGAGAGGAACTAAAAGTAAGTGATTTTATAGTGCTCTAAAATATTGAGACTCAAAAAATAAAAGTCCTGGGATAAAAATGCTCATGTGTTTGAGTTTGTGCTGTGACCAATACCAAATAAGTTCGCTTACATCTACCACAGGGCTTGCATAACTAAGAGCCGGTCTGACAGGTACCAAACATCATTGTTTCACAGGCAAGGACTGCAGATTTTCCAGAAATTAACAGACCTTGTCCCAAACCTACTTCTCCATTCTTATATTATATAATAAAGCATTCCAGGGAGCAAACTAGCTGATTAGACATTTTGCATACCCATATAGGGATTTTCTAATCACAATGAGGGTAGTGTGATAAGGTCTTGGGGGAACTGGAGCTCCCAGGCAAGATGTCTCAGTTCTAGAGCATCCTTCTCTGTTTATCACTCTTTTTACCCTGTTTATCTTTGCAAGAAAGTTGTATACTATGATTTTTAAAAGATTGGACTACTGTTTTATGGTTGTATGTGATGTAAGTGTAGTTATAATTACAGTTTTTAAAAAGCAAATCCCTCCTATTAGATTGTAATCTTTATCCAAACTCATCTGTACATTTGCCCTTACCCCTCCACCTGGCACCGTTTATTCAGCAACAGTTTATTGATCTTCAGTCACTTGGAATATGTAGTGAGGACAAGGGACATCTCTGTTCTAGTTGACCTTATATTCCAGTAAGTTATACAAACAATACATGACTAAACCAATATATAAGAAAATACTGAGTAGTGAAAATATTATCTTAAAAAAATTATAGAGATTGAGAGTAATTGAGAAAGAAATTTAGACAGCATCTTCATGAAAAAGCCCTTCTGGGTAACTGACACTTAAAATGAGTCTTGAACAATACGAAAGAGATATTATTTAGAGATATGGAGGAAGAACACTTCAAGCAAAGCAAACAGCTTGACAGATTGTGGGGGAGAAAACAAGTGTGGCCGAAACATAGTATCAGAGGGCAAGAATTGTAGGCAATTAGATTTGAGAGGTGGACAGGTACTAGATGTTATAAGGATTTCTGGGAAAGAATTTGTATTTTTGTTTTTTAAATTTTTTTTTCGTATTTTCCTTCTTATTGTGATGTGACTCCATTGGCTTTTATACAGAGGAATGACATCTGATTTGTAGTTGAGCAGAGGAGAAGGAACCAGCAAAGGAGTTCAAATACAGTGCTTAGCAAGGTGGGGGGCATCATCAGGAAAGGGTGGTATGTGAAGCTCAAGAGAAGAGAATGAATGAAGAATGGATGTGGGGACCTGGAGCTTGATGGCAACCTTTACAAGAGATGTTTCAAAGGGGTAGTTGGCAAAGAAAATAGTAGGGTAAGGAAATGGCAAGAGTAAGGGTAGAAAACAATATTTTTCAGTGAAGAGGAACAAATAATAAAGCAGTAGCAGGAAGGGTTCGTTGGGTCAAGAGAGTTTGTCTTGTTACAGTCGATCATGGTGAGTTTCAGTGGAGAAGGAGATGCTGAAGATGCCCGAGACAGCAGGTAATTATAGGAGAAAAATCCTTGAAAATGTGAGAGGAGGTGGTAAAAGGTGTAGCACATTCTACCATAATTTCCTCAACAGATTCTCCCTCTGTGTACTTCCAAGTTCAGTTAACAGTAGAAATGTGCTAAGTTTGCTGAGAACCACAGCAGAAAATTTGCTTGGAATGGTTCTGGTTTAATAAAAAAGTTTCATTACCCAAAACATGACAGAAATTAAATCCCACATATTTGGAAAGAAATGATTTTTTTGGCATTCAGTTCAGGAGATTATTATTTTAATTGCTTTTAATTTTTTTTTTTTTTATCTTTCAGGTGCTTCAAGAAGACTTAGAACAGGAACAAGTCAGGGTCAATTCTCTCACTCACATGGTGGTGGTGGTCGATGAATCTAGTGGAGACCATGCAACTGCTGCCTTGGAAGAACAACTGAAGGTCAGATTATTTTCTTTAATACACTGTGTCATTCAAAATAATTAATTGCAATTCAGAAAAAAATTAGAAAATGTATAATGTAATTTGTGTATTGCAAATATTTACAATGCAGTATATTTATTTAAACTAAGTCAAATTATGTCCCATTTGTGCACATTTCCCTTTCACTAACTATCCACTGTTTGTTCACACTAGCTTCCTGGCCTTTGGGGAAATATATGAATGCAGATCTGGTTTTTTTTTAATTACAGTTGAATAACATGTATTAGAGAACTGGTCAGAGGAATATTGTTTATATCTTCTTAAAACCTACAGTTAAAGAGAGGACAAAGGTAAAAAGAAAAAAAAAACACTCAAAAGGGATCACATTCAGTCAAATTGTGAGAAATCAAACACCTTCATATTTTTTTCCTGGACAACTTCAGTTATAGTCTTGATGAGGACATAGCAGGATATATAAGTTTTGTTGGAGAAGATACTCAGCGTTTCAAGCCCTCATTCAACCTGAGTCATAGTAATTATATCCTTGGAAACATAACCAGCACCTATTAACAAAGAGTAAGGTGGGTATTTTCATATTTTTATCTTTTCTTCCTAATTGGGAACAACATTTTACTGTAAAAATATTGAAAACATTTTCAACAAAATGTATGTACATACACCAAAACATCAACATTAAGGAAAAATACAACTTATTGTTCTGAATGTGATGCACACACACACACACACACACACAACTACAGGTTATACTTGAGGCATTCACTTTACCCATGACATGCCTACCTTTTCTTTGTGATTGTTAGGGGCCAATAGTCTGACATGTCTAAGGATCCACTCAATGTGGGTTTAAATAGCTTTATCAGCACAAGGTTGTTCTAAACATAGTTACTCTTACCCAACCTATAACACAGTTTCTTAAAGCCTTATCTCTGTTTCCTTCTTTCTTTGTGTGAATTGTGTTTTTTTATCCCAGTAAAATGTCATTTCCTCAGGTTACTGCTTTAAACTTCCATTCCAGTCTTTAACAATGGTATCTTCTTCTCTATCATTAAATGACAAAAAGAAAATTCTTGAACTGCTACAACTGAGCATTTAACATATATTAGTCACCCATGTTCATTGCTTATGATTCAATGAAATTATAGGGATTACAGATATAAAAAGGCTTTTGGCACCTGTTATTATAATATATCATCACATATATGATCAGATGCATTGCACACATGCATACTTGTGACCAGCTAAAGGACTGTACTGATAGACCACTGCTACGACCATTTGAAAGGTTTCTGTAGTTCTCATAAAATAGTGTTGTAGCTAATTATAGATGGGTAAAAAATCTAATACTCAGCATTCCTCAGAAGTTTTCAGAAAAGGTAAAAGAAGGCTAGGGGGCAGAAGTTGGGAGGGTGACTGGTTAAAAAAAAATCAAGGCCGACATTTTTCTAAGTCATAGACTATTTCTACCTAACATGACAACTGAGAAACATCCACTTTGGTATTAGCAGACCTAATACAACTAGCTTTAGAATGTAATCATTCCGGGGTGATGTCTGTGGGGCTAAGCCACCTTGAAAAACAGTCTATAGTACTCATAGATCGTGACTGGGTTAGAGCTTACTTAGGATAAATTAAGAGTTGTGGCCCTAAGCTTTTCTGTATTTATTATCTTACTTGCTTTCATTTTTGCCTTATTTTCTGTCTTTATTTCATTGGCTCAAAGATATCTACTAAGATAGCTGTGCGTGTATTGGCTTCTCCTAAATCATACGGACTCCATCTGCATTTGTCCATGATTGCCTCACTATTAATTAGTGTTGACTACTACCTCCTAGCTTTCTCTTTTCCCTGCAACCCCCTTTTCCCCTTTGATACCCTAATTTCCCTCTACATACCTCCTTACTGTGACCTGACTTTTATATAATCTAGACTAGTGTCTAAAAGGGCAGGGTTAGAAGGAATTCTTTGGGGAGAACACCCTGCCTTGAACATTTCTTTCTTCTCATCCCATGACTTTTCCCTGTCTTAGAGGAATCCATGCTTGAATTCTGTGCCTTATTTGACCATTGGTTTGAATTGGTTTGAATTGCTCTGGAATGCTGGGCTCTCATCTGACCTTGACATTTTGGTGATTCTTTCTTAGGTTCTTTGCAAATGATATAATCTAATCTTAACCTAGTTGGATTTTTAAAAGGAAGGGGAAGAGAAAGAGAAGTTGGCAGAGAAGAAGGAGGAGAAGAGAAATAATAAAGGATAAAAAGAGAGATAAACAAATACATTAGAGGAGTCACTTTAACAGCAGCACAAGTATTCTCTGCATATAATAAGAATTCCATGTGTGCTTCAGAAACCACAAACTATTACTATGTCTGATACTGGGCCCAGAGGAATTCTGTTAGAATAGGAAGAATTTTAGGAAAGAAAAACAAGTATATGGACTCCACACAAGGGACAAAACTGAAACAAAAACAAAAACAAATACAAAACTGGCATGGATCTGAGAAGGATCCTCGAGGGCTTTTGTTGGAGCTAGGTCTGGTCATCCATAGCTTATTCCCCTCGACTTGTTAGTCTTGAATATTTATCCCACTCCTTTTTCCGCCATCACAGTGCCTTAATCTGTTTTGCTCCATTGTGCTGAGGCACCATCCAGAGCCCCCACATGGATACCCAGTGGTCTTTAGTCAAGAGATGAAGATGGGGCAAACTAGAAAGGGAAGTCCTTGATTTAGTACAGTAAGAGAGGGATGTGTTCTTATCATCTGGAGTTAAAACTCTGAAAATACTCCTCATAGAATATTTTTATGTGTATTGACTTAATTCTATGAACTTTATTATAAGTTAGATTTTCTCTAACTTTCTTTTAAATATTTTATTGATTTATTTGACAGAGAGAGAGAGTGAACACAAGCAGGAGAAGTGGCAGACAGAGGGAGAGGGAGAAGCAGGCTCCCCGCTGAGCAGGGGGCCTGATGCGGGGCTGGGATCATGACCTGAGCTGAAGGCAGATGCTTAACTGACTAAGCCACCCAGACACCCCATTTTTCTCTAACTTTTTAAAAAGACTTTTAGAAGCCTTTCTGTTAAAAGGTTTGAAGAAAAACAAAGTTAGGTCAGAACATATGCTTAGGGATTCTAAAAGATAGCATGGCTTATGAAGGATAGTATTCTGAAAAGTACAATCTGTTGTAAATTAATTTGATTCTCTCTCAGAGGTTCAACTTGTCCCTCAGCAGTGTCACCACAGGTCATAAACTTGTCCTTAACTTTAACGGTTTCTAGGATGTCAATGCACAGAGAATCTGATTTGTAAGCAATGATGCCAGTTAACTGATTTTATTGAGAAATAGCTTGGCTAAATAACTGAGATTAGTAATTTATGTAGAGTATTCAGTCCTGGAGGACATTATCATATCTCTTTCTGAGAATCTGCCTTCTGTTCTTCATTTTTTCAGTGAATACTTGCTATGTTCTTATTATGTCCCAAGGATTGTGCTGGGTAACAGAGGTAAAACAATGAACAAAAAGAGAATTTGTCATTACTTTCCTGGGTCAGGAGTGAGTAATCTGTGAGCCTGCTGCCTTCCTTGGAAACTAGAAACAATGGTAGCCATTTCTCAGGCTCCCTCTTTGAAATCAAATGCTAATTCCTTTCATCCGTGGTCACCATGGTAGGCATGGTAGGCATGATGAAAATGAGCAAATATTTAAGAACGGACAGAACTTATTTCTATGAAGGAAAGAAACAAGGTTTTGTGACAGCACACTAATAAGACGTCAACTGAAATTTGAGGGCAAAAGATGATTTCCTAGGAAAGTGTTTAAGCTAGGGTCTAAAGGATATGTTGAAGGGAACTGTATAAAGGGCGTGTAAAGGAGATGGGTGGGGGTGGGTAGTTTCCAGGAAGGGGAAATAGTAGATCAAGTGAACAAAGCATCCTCAGGGAACTGAAAAGGGCAAATTTGGCTACAGCTTTGAGGTTCAGAAGAGTGGTGTTAGAGGAGACTTGGCAGATAGAAGGGGCTTACCCAAATTACCAATTCTAATTCTTACCACACAAGAATTAGAAGTGGTGTGTGATGCTCAACTCTACCAAAATTCAATCAACAAAAGTGTACTGAGCAGCAGCTCTCTGCCTGGATGACAGCTGGGACTACAACGGCAAGAAGCAGGGGCAACAGTCATGGCACCTGCCCTTCTGGACCTGCACTAATCAAGTGCAATGAAAGGTACAATTATGGCCATGGTGAATTCAGTGGGATAAAAATAGACATTGCTGGATGACCTATCTTGCTCTAGAAGGCCAGGAAAGTAGAGGTTAATTAGGCAATAGTAAAGGGTAGGAAGGTGTTCTGTACAGAAGCACAGCATTTATTCATTCAACAAATATGTCTTGCATGCCTTCTCAGTGCCAGCCAAGTCTAAGCTTTGAGGTTAAGCATAGGCAAAGCATACATGATTTCTCTATGAAGCTTACATTCTAGGCACACATCATAATAAATAAGCAAGTTTTATACTATGAGTAAGGTGATAAGAACTGTAAAGAAAAGACTGGGGAGGGGAGCGCTTTTACCTGGAGTGGTCAGGGGATGCTTCCTTGAGAAGGTGGCATTTAAGTAGAAACTCAGACAAAGTAAGGGAGGTGTTTGGAAGGTGCACAGGTCCTATGGGGCCTTTTGTATTTGAAAAACTGAAGAAAGACTATAAATGAAACATAAAGAACACCTATTGTTCTAGGGAGATAGTTGTTTCTAATAAAAAAGAACCAGAAACAGGCATCTAGTTTTAGAGGTTGTTCTAGTGAAAACACCTTCCGGAGAAAAGGCAGAGCTATTGAAGTTCCATTTGTAGATATGTTCTTCTATACACTTGAACACTTGAGAGCCCAACTAGATGTATTAAAGTTGTCTAAGGCCCGGACCAAGGAGATTTCTGGCATATAAAAGGCATTTGGACTATATTGCTAAATGACCTTAATCTTTTTTTTTTTTCCTAATAA